ATGTGTCTGGGTCTCCCTAAGTGTAAAATGGGGATAAAATTAGTACACACATCAAGGGGATATTGTAAGGATTTAATGCAAGAAAGTGCATAAAGCACTTCACAAAGGGTAACAGCCTATGGTGCGTTTAATCAATAGGAACCACCATTATTATCATCATTATTAGGATTTTGGTTATAGTTATTCAATTGTGAGTGTACATACATTACCAAGAATCAAGAGAGAAAAGAGCAATTGATTTTGCATGGGAGAATCTAGGTAGGCTTTACCGAGAAATAGACATTGAGGAGCAGTCTTGAAAATGAGCAGAATTGCAATAGAGAAAGAAGAGAAAGGTGACTTGGGGAAAGGAATGAATATAGTATCTAGCATGCTGACTTTGAGATCTTCATAGACAAGTGGAAAAATCAATCTGGATTCATTAGAAGAATTCAGGCTACAACTAGTTCATTGCTATTAAACCAATAATACTAAAAACTAAAAACACAGAAATAGATTGGAATGCCAAGAAAGAAGCTGTAGACTGAGAAGAGGCAGGGGTGGGGAGCCAGAAAATTTAAAGCAAGGATGGAAGAGGACAACCAAGGATGGAAGAAACAACAAGCAGGGATCTAGGAAGAGAAGTAGGGAGAACAGGTTTAGAGAAGGCTGACTTGCTCCAAAAGGTGTCAGGATGGAGCCCATACCCCAGTGGAGGACAGAGGAAGTCAGTGAACTTTAACCTGGGAAGTAAAATGGTGCAATGAACAGTCCTTTGAGTGAAGACACACCTGGGTTCAAATCCTCCTTCTTACCCTGACTAGCTTTCCCTCAGTAGTCATCAGACGCCTTGTCTGTAAAATGAAAATAGTAGCTTCTACCTTATAAGATTGTTGTGAGTTAAGAACGAACTAATGCATGTAGAACACTTAGGAAATTGTCTGGATAATGACACACACGTGTTCACCTGGGAAAATACAAATTGATCAATGCAAATTTAATACCAGAGAAAATAATAGAACAATCATCAAATTACTTTCCATCACTCAGCTCGGAGGAGCCCTAGCTATTGCGTAACAATTCAAGTCGGATTTCTGAACAAACAAACAATGTCAATGTCAGACCAATTTCATTTTCTTTCTTTGAAGAATATTAGATTGTGTAAGTAAAAAGAACGTAAAAGATTGAATGCAGTTGAATGAGCTGGGCTTTCTGTCTGTCTCCATGACATTTTTATCACTAGGCTGGAGAAACTGTTTAGAGCAGCATGTCCCCCAAAGAGTGTTTTATAGAAAGTTGTTAAGTGTTCCATGAACAATTAAGTTTGGGAAACACTGGGTAAAATAGGCTACTTTACTATAGGATTCTCAAAAATTTTTAAATAAGGTAATGTGAATATCTAAGGGTCAGTATTATATATAGCATTTTCCAGACTTACTTGGTTGTGGAATTCTTTTAAGGGTCATAGAACACAGTTTAAGAAGCAGTGGTATAGGCCCTATTATATTATCTTTCCTGGAGTTATAGTTCTTCAAGATTGATTATTAAGTTTTCAGCAACTATATGTAGAAAAATCTTTTGCCTTATTTCACAGGGATCAGAATTTAAAGAGGTGCCACTTAATACTTTTATTTATAAGCTGAGCAATGAGAATTAAAAGAATCGTGATTAAGCATGAAGTTGGACAGAGTTCCTGTCTACTTGGGAGGCAGAAATACAATTCAAAGGACATTCAAAATAGAATGAAGATCAATGGGGAGACGAAGAAAGATGTCTTACAGATAAAATATAATTTCTACATATAATATTTTTATAGGGAAATAAGGAAAAGATGTTGATACACATATATATGGCTTTAGAAGACCAAGAAAACATACTGGGTCTTGAATAAATAGCATAATGAATAAAAATATCACCACGAGAGTTATGCCAAGACTACTGTAGTGAAAAGTATAGGGAAACATGATGCATCTCACAGATCGGGGTATTTCAGTGTTGGGGCCCTGTATTCTCCTGGCTCTACACGTTCCACACAAAAGTGGCCTTGGGGTTGCTCCAGAAATCAGGACTTCTAAAGCCATATGATTCCCAGCGAGGTCCCACTTTAGGGTACCTCTGAGTGATGGGTTGAAGGGAGGTCTTGTCATTTCTTTGTTTAATGAAAGCCTCTTAGTTCTTTTACTAAGAATGGGTTGGAGCTAATCCTCCTGCTCAAAACTTATCCTGGCTACTTGAGATTCTGCCAGTTCCAGAGATTATCCAGTATAGGTAGCATTTCTAGACCCCTAAGGAGTTGCTGTTACAGGATCAGAGATTGCAGCCGCTCCTTTTTGATATCATAGGTTTTGTATTCTTGAGTTAGGATATGACATATCCTAAGTGTTTCTCTTAAATAGATGACTTGTAATTCATCAAATGGAGTTGTATGTGTGTATGTGTGTAAGAAAAAGGAAATATGAAATGAGAATCATAACTGTGTTAGAAGCCCTGTGCTTGGCTTAAATTTCCACACTAAAAAAAATTAGAGAATTTCCAGGGCCAGCAACCAGGTAAGAGACATGAAAAATGGAGTTAATGATGTTAATGTGGAGAAGAAAAGCAAAACTGGGGTCAATGTATTTCTTTTACTGCTTAAAAAGAAAAAGAGACATTAGGAGACATTCGATATTGATGTTAAGAAATAAGTTTTATAACAATCAAAACTGTCCAATAAGGGACAAGTCTGCCTTGTGAAAAGAATCCAAAAAATAAAATTATTTTTGAATGCTTATTTTGTGACAGGTGTTATGCTAAACACATTACATGCATTAGCTTATTCAATTCTCTCAAAATCGCTGTGAGGTAAGAACTGCTATTATCTTCACATTATTGATGGTAAACTGAGTATTTGAGAGGTTAGTTTACCTTTTCAAGGTCATACAGCTAGTGAATGGACAAACCGGTATTTGATCCTGGAACTTGTGTACTAAACCATTAAATTGCTTATTTCCATCCTTGGACATTTTTTCAAGCACAGTCTGATGTGTCAGAGATTTAGTTTAAGGGGTTCATTCCATTGTAAGACTTTTCCATTGTAAGACTTTTCCATTGCAAGACTGGATAATTTCTAAAATCTTTTATTTCTGCCATGCTGAGAATTGAAACATTGACTTGAATCTCCTTGGCCATTGTGTCCATCCATCATCTTCCTATTTTAATAGAGATGGAGACAAGTCTAACAGTCTCAAGAAGGCCAGTAAAAACCAAGGGATGGATGGACAAAGGAATCCATAAGGAAAACTAAAAGGGGTTGCATTCTTTTGGCCAGGAGGTGAATTGGTGACCTGTAATATGCAGAAGATTAAGGGTGTGTAGGTCATTTCCACGGAGAATATAACAAGAAATCCATTTCAATGAAAAAGCTTGGCTGGTACAAGAAAGTCTTCCCAGTGAAAATGTCTTGAAATAAACAAGACTCTGAAGCACAGTCATGGGTAGAAGGAGAACGTGGTCATGTTAGAATTGAAGCCCATGCCTTCAGCAGCAGGCCACCCCAGTGCCTTTCTGGTAGCCTTGCCGAGTTGGCCAGCCAGTGTTTGTGAACTTCACTCTCTTCCATCCTGTCCCACTAAAGAAGCAGCAGACACTGAAAGTGAAATCTGAGCCATTTCCGTGTTGGGAAACTTTTAAACTCATTTTGACAACAGGGGTGACAGGGATTCTTAGGTAACTTGTCACAGGGTCTCGCAACAAATAACCTCATGAGATACCGTCTGAATTCTTGAGTTATGGCAACAATGGAGAAAAGACCAGAGGGTCTCCGTTAATAAAAACTGCCTTGGAAAATCAACATTTCTGCCCAGTAGAGTTTTATGTATTAATTTTAGGAGCTAGACCATCAGTTTTTTCTTTAACACAGAAAGAAACTGAATAAGGGATTTTTTTTTCTGCTTCCTAGAAATTTTATCATAATCTCATGTCCCCACACTTCACAGCTTGTTACTTGGTTCATTACTCTCACATTTAACTTGATAAGGTCCTGGTGCCTGTGATATTAGTTTTTAGGCTTTGCTTTCTCACAGCTGCTTCTTTGAAGTGCCTGATAACATTTGTCGCCTTGCACAGAGCCAGTGGCTTTTCAAGTTCTCAGTCTCCCACTGCCCACTGTCCTTCTGTTTCTGTTACTTCTCACTTGGATGGCTATATTCTCAACCTCACCCTTTCTCTACTTTTGAAAGAGGGCAAACCTTGAGCTTTTGCAAGTGGCTAATTGGTTCATTCATGGAATTGGGCAATTTATTCTTGAAGTAATGACTTCTCTCCTCAAGCGTGTCAGAGCATGTTTTCCTAAAGGATGTTCAGAAATATCAGTGGAGCATGCACATGCGTGATCATGGGGCATCTCTCATGGTTCCTGTAAACACAGATAGCGCCTGTGCTCCATTCACATGCACGCAAGCTTCCCTCTTCTCAGTGTCCCTGCATGTCTCCAGTCATGCTCTTTATCTAAAGGTGGCATCTACTAACTGGATCTGGGCCAGGCATGACCTCAACTGCTGGAATTTGGAAAAAGCCAATTATTTCACAGGGCAAAGTTAAGCCATAGCTAAAATTAAAGAAAGAAGCACCTTCTGAACAAAGCCGTGGGAGTGTAAACATTTAGAGAATTTCTGGAAGCTGTTTGTGGTTAAAACAAAGTTAGAGTTGGAAGTTTTGAATGTCTTGGTTATTTTAATAGGAAACTAATTGGGGGGGTGGGGTGGGGGGAGAAGTACCTCCTGTTTCATCCACTTAGAAAAAATTTCTCCTGTGATTTCCATCATTTCCCAACATACTTGATGTGAACTGAAGACTGAATTTAGCAGATGATCTGAGTGCTAAAATGTGCTTACAAGTGGTAAAAGAGGGATTAAAAGCTTTAGCTGCATTTTGAAGAGGAATGGGACAGCTGGTAAGAGGAGTAAAAGCACAATTGCAAGTGAAATCGACAGGAACTATCAGCTCATTGTGCACAAAATACGGCGTTAAGAGCAGTTACTCACAGGTATTTGCAGTGCCTTTGGGGATGGGCAGATACGAGCCTGGGCTCCAAGGTCGGCCCTGATAATTCTTCTTGCATTTCCCACAGTCTGGACCTGTCGTGTTGTGCTCACATTCACAGGTCAATTTGCTGTCGTCATACACACACACAGTGGCATGGAGATTACATTTGCACCTAGGCAGAGGAAAGACAAGAGTTCACTGTAAGTCAAGTCGGTCTTAGTAATCACTGAGGCTTTACTCCTGGGTCTCCTGGGTTGTGGCTCTCACCCTGCAGGGCTGGCGTGCTACATAGAGGCTCTTGCTGGGTAAAATGTAGATTTGCAGCCCCACCCTCAGAATCTTTTCAACAAGTGCCCTTGGGGGTGAGGGTGGGGAATCTTAATACCAGTCAGTCAGTTCCATGGGAGACTGAAGCTCAGAAATCAAGGGTTTCCCAACAAGCATCCAAAATACTGCCACTCGTGAGAGGTTCTTCTGTTATATTATCAAATCTGTGACAATTTCATGTGGGTTGGAAGAAAAATGTTATCTTCTGTTTTTCTTTAAACCAGAAGGATAATTCTTATTTGTTTAAAAGGAAACATGACCATGAAGACAATTTGCTATTCAGATTTGTTTTATAAACCTCAAGAAGTTATAGTAAGCTGTTCTCAATCCTAAAATGACATCTCTTCATTTGGTGGAAGAATTTTTCCTCCAAGGCCTCTAACCAGCCTAAGTAGTCCTCAGATCCCCCACTCGCAGCAAACAAGGTAATCACAATGATCTCTCAGAAATGGGCCAAATGGCTCAGATAAAAGATGCTTAGAGTCCTAGAAAATAAAAACCTACATGTGGCAGGGATTTGAGGTCATTAGCGAAGGCCTAGCCATTGGTATTCACAAATAAAGCTGTGATATATGAGAGGCAAAAATGGAATATGCAATTTCCACAAAAATACATTGCCATATCCAAAAAGCCTTTGATTGTAAAATTGCAAAGGCCAACTTGATATTTGTTGAGTTAGCAGGTTATAAACTGTAACACTCCAAGCACAGGCCACATCCTCTGGAGAAGTAAAACCTAGGTTGACAAAATGACCATGACCCGAAGTCAGAACAATGCATGTGGGATGCGATGTCTCCACACAAAGGAGAGAACCCGACACCCAGGCTAGGGGAGAAAGGACCAAGATCTGTCAGAGTCAGAACCTGAAAATGTTACGTGTGTGTGTGTGTGTGTGTGTGTGTGTGTGTGTGTGTATGTGTGTGTGTGTGTATTTTTAAACTAGTCTGGCCCCTTCCAGGAACTAGGACAAAAATATAGAAAGCCAAGTTTCGTAAAGACAAAGAACTATGGTAATGTTTTACATTTGTTTTTCTTTTTGTGTGTGTGTGGCAGATGTTATGAATTGGACAAGTAACAATACTTTTTCTTAGGTAGAAAAATAGGATTCTTTAACAGCTGATGTTGGTTTATATAATGTTTGTACAGTAACATCCAAGTTGCTGTCTTGTGCGTTGATGATCTGTTTGAGCACTGACCCATACTTACAGCAAGGAAGCAAAGCGATGACAAAGACTGTCGTCCCTGAGAGCTGCTGGGCTCTCTTCTAACTAAAAGGTATAGCCCCTAAGGCCACACACTCAAACCTCTTTGAGGAAGACCAAGCTTCAGTTTCCTTTTTGGTCTGCTATGATTTATAATACCAATAGCTATACCTAGCCCTCTGATTAGTTACACATATACACTGTAATGAGCTGGAAGGCTACTATTTCAACAATACCTATTCAAATTAGACACATAAACTGAACGTTTAAAAATTAACATTTATGTAATCTTTCAAAAAAGAGAAGGGGAAAAAATCATTCAGTTAAATGAAACAGGCAGTGTTTAATTATGAATTAGGTCTTATAACAGTCGCCTATATGCAGGGAGTTTCTTGAGCCAAGTTGCTTATTAAAGGCTCTTTCTCCTTCAACATTAGCACCTTTATTTATGGGGATGTTTCATATATTTAGAAGATGTTAGCAACCTAAGTGATAGAACCACCAGCTTATACTGATTTAGCATCCTCTCTGGTGTTAAAAATTCCGAATGAGGAAATAAACAGTGTGACCCCAAAGAATATGCTGGTTTCACGTGTGAAGAACAAGAAAGAAAGTAGCAATTATAAACTGGATTGTATTTCTTGTAACTCTTAATACTTTCATACATGTAGTCACTCTCTGAGTTACAGACAATTTCCATTCTAAAGACTTTATATTTACTGCGAAAATATTCTTTGAATAACAAAAAGGAGGCGACAGAAGAATAGATGAATGTTTACTTTTATTTTTCTCAGATTTCTTCCAGTTAATGGTTCACCTCCACTTGCCCCAAAGCTTGTTAATCATTCAAGTCTCACCTCCGTTCATAACTCTTCCCTGGATCTATTCTGAGTACTATAGACACCCTGATTTCTACCCCTCCGATTGCCTTAAATGCTTCTGTGTGTTTCGTTTACCTGGTTGTTACCTAGGGCTCTTTGTGCCTTTACATTTTTTACTCATTGCATAAAATGGTCCCATGTTGGGAGGGGGGGATATCCACCTAGCACCCTGCTTTTCTTTTCCAGTTACCTCTTTAACTCTCTCCTTTCCCTTCTTGAGTTTCCTACATTTACCATCTCTGGTTTCTCATCTTGCACTCACTCCCTCTTTCCAGCTAACCACAGTCTCTCTTGCCAAGACCATCCATGATTTCCTTGTTGAAAATGCAATGGATACTTTTCCTTGACTTATTTGATCACTCAGGGGCATGTGACTCTGTGGACCACTCCCTTTCTTTTGACACTCTCTCCCCACTGGATTCTCAAGCTCACTTCCAGAACCCTCTTCTCCCATGTGTTCTCTTCATATGCTGTTCTTTGAGTTCTGGCCCGGCACAGTCAGCCTAAATGACTCTCTTTGGGCTCCCTTATCAAGGTTGTCCCTTCAGTGTCCTCTGTGGTCCCTAACTGCCTCTAAATTATAGGCATTTTAAAGCAAAGTTGCATCTTTTTTTTTTTGCCTCCAGAAAAAAATAAACATATGCAAGATAAGCTCAAACATTTGAAAACATTTTAGGATATTCAAAGACTCACTGTTACTCACAGAAATCCAAAGAACCTCGTCCTTCCATTATCCTCAGGTGGATGACCTGATCCACACGTTGATAAGTCCTGGACCTCCATCATGAATCTCTCTCGGGCATGTCAAACTCAACATATCCTGAACTGAATTCTTTGGCTTCCCTGCCCCCCCACCCCTTCTGTGGTTTCTGTTTCAGTAAATTACATCACCTTCCAGTCAGTTGGTTTTAAGAATGACTCCTACCTCCCCCTTCCAATCACATCTAATTTTTTGTAACTTAACCTCTCAGGAGAGGTTAACCTCTCTTAACCTCTAAGTGCTGAGAGTCTTCCTTGACAGCCCTAAAATACATACAGTTCTAGCCTTTGCCACTTCCCTAGTTGAGATCATCACCATCTTTGATCTGGTTTATCACAATGACTTCTAAACAAACCTTGGTGATTCCAGTCATGCTCCTCTCTAGCCCAATTTGAACACAATAGTCAAAACCATCATTTATACAAAACTAATTGGGTCACCCTGGCTAAGCACCATTGAAAGATTTCCTATTATTCTCAGAATAGAGTCCAAGCTGTATAACATGGTTTATAAGTTCCTTTGAAATCTATCTCTTCTCCCACCAGAATGCCTTTCCTATGTGCTCCTCTGACACTAGGCCAGTCACATGATAAAGCCCATACCATCTCTGCTACAGACACAGGCTGTGTTGTTACTGCCTATTCTTCTGTCACCTTCACTAGAGTATAAGCTCCTGGGAGCCACAGTCATGTCTTATTTACTGAAATGTCCCTAGCATGTGTCAAGGTTCCTAGCACATAATAAGTACTTAAAAAATATGTGATGAGTTAACAAATGATGACTAAACAAGTTAGCTCCCTGAAAGCAGGAACTTCATGAGCCTGTTCTACTATGTCTAGCCCAGCAGTGGACTAAAGATAGAGAATTAATAGGCACTGTACTAAATCAAATACACCTTGATGTGAGCTAAAAACTGCCACATGCCCTCATCATTGGTTTTCACAACTAACTTTACAAAGGGCAAAGCGAACTCTATATACTTGGCAAGACCTGGTAAACCCAATTTAATGTCATTTAAATTTCAGAGGATTTGCCAAATGCCTGGAACCTAACACAAGAGCTATCCTTAAAAAAATGCCTGAAAGACCCAGGAGACCATAGCTTAGAGGAAAGGAAAAACCAAATATTTGTGTAGCATAATTATTCTGGAATATGCCCTTTTTAGCTTCAACATCTCATGCAAAGAAGACCACCCTGGTTCAGCTGAAGTTTGGCAGAGCGGTGCTTGGGCACTGGCAAAAACTGTACCTTCTCCAGCAGTAAGTCTGCTGACCTAGCTCAGCTTCAGGGCTGTCTTTCCTCCATCACGGTGACAACAGCTGTGCCAGCGCTGAGCATGTGAAAGTGTACACTGAGGTACCCCGACACTGGCCTGTATTTAGAAATGACTCCCTTTCATTTTCCATAGCTCAGTTTATTCTCATCATCCCATTTCAATCAGATGCTAAAATTTTTTCTTTAGAGCCCCTGCCAAAGTGGCTTTTCCTCCAACAGGGGGAAATGGATTTCACAATGCTAGGAGATTGCTCTCAATTCCTGGTGTTATGACCTCCAGGCTTGTGATGGGGTGGAGGGCAGATTTCTGTGATGCCCACTTGTCTCTGACAGATTCCTTATCCGTTTCCACGACCCCCCATCTCCCACATCTGCCATTGCATTAGGTGGGGGAGGAATTATATAAGTAGAAACATAACAGACTTCATTAGTGATGGAATTAATATCTGATGTTCTGGGGAGCTAAGCCTATTCACCAAATCTGTTCACACACAAAAAAACTCACACCAAGACACTTCAGGTAGAACTAATTGACTTGTTTGTACCTTGAAGACCGACTTGTATATAAGTGACAAACAGCACATTCTGTCAAATAAGGGCATTGCTAAGACAGGCTTAAAAAAAGAAACATGAGCTCTAATCTGTGATGCAAACAGTGAAAACCTGTGTGTTCTTGCTTTTAGTGAGATCTGCGCTTCCTGTATTTTAGTGACCAGCTGTCATGAGT